GGCACTGTTTATTACATTGCAAAATGAGTTAATCGGGAGTTCAAATAAATCAAAAAGTACTATCCAGTCTATTCAAAAAGACATGAATTAATCCTTGGACTACATACACTTTCGTTTTTGCAGTCTTGCCACATAACGAAATATTGCACTTTAATTCTCCCTTAAAGTTTAATTTCTTTCCTGAAACCCCTCTAGCTGTTTTTTTTTTTTGGTTTCAGATAATTTAGGTCTTCAATTTTTTTCCAAGTTTGTTCGTCAATGATGCTTATGTCTGAACCAGAATCCAGTAGGAAAGTAATTTTATGATTATTTATACGTACATCTCGCATTACTTTCTATTTTTTCCTTTCTGAATTTCTTTTTCTGATAGTACCAGACTTACATCTTGTAATTTTCTTCTTTTCTTTTCGACAAACTGTATATTTATGCCCTTTATTTCCCAACGCATCGCAGAATTTATTTTTGTACCAACGTACGTCTTTGGTGTGACCTTTTTTTCCACACGTTTGGCAGAATTTATTTTTTGTACCAACACGTGTCTTTGGTATGGCTATTTTTTCCACACGTCTCACATTTTTCTACCTTTTTTTGGCGTTTGGAGTTTTTCGAGTTTTTACGTGTCGAACATTAGCAACACTTTTCTCCTCAATTTGTATATTATCCCTTTTACGTTTATGAGACGTTGGCATTCTTCGTTACCCTTTGTAATGTTATTTTCGAGTCTTGCTCGACCATTATTAATATTCTCGACCTAATTTCTTTATATTTAGGATCAGTTAGTCCTTGAAGAAAAAATTAGGCACTTGAATACATCTTTGGTTATTTCTTCTAACTTGAATTGTTCAACCAGAGAGTTCACTGTTCCCCGCGTATGTCACAAAATCCTCGTTATCTGCTTTAACGATGTTTAGGCATCTGTATCGCGTGTGGAACAGACTATTCCTTTCGTCAAATATTTTTGACAGAATACTTATAGTTTCTTCAAACGAAACTTCTTCTGGCTTTCTGGGCAGTATCAAGTTTGAGTACTTCCTATTCTCGTTTGTCCCTAGTTTCTGTACTAGTAATGTTACTCGTTCCTCATCCGACCAATGTTGACATCTCTTGGTAAATATAGTTTCAAACGTTTAAAAGCACGCTGGAAATGTAATGCCCGAATCAGGATCATAAATAAATTCGGATAATGAATTTGTTATTCCTTCGGCAGAAAAAACAGTATTTTTTCTTTCTCCAGTCGCCTGCTCCAAAACTTTTTCGAGACTTTTTTGCTGTTGCAATATTTGTTGTTGTAAGTCTTGGTACTGTTTTTGTTGCTGTTGTTGTAACTCTAGATACTGTTGTTGTTGCTGTTGTAAGCTTGTACACAGCATTTTAGTCATTTCGACTAATTGCTCCATCCTTATTTTAGAATTCGGCAAAAAAACAACAAAAAAAAAAATTTTTTTTTTTTAGACAGTTAACACTCTCAACAAACAATTTACAGCCGTAATATTTTTACAACCCGTAATTCTTACTTGAATAATTATTAGACCGGCTCGTATTTGAGTCGCGGTTCAAAACATATTTTTCAAATCACAATTTAACAGTAAAAATTCTTACTTTTCAAAAAGTTTCCTTTTGACTTGTGACTCCGCTTTCGAACATCCGTTCAGCGTATATATATTTTTTTTTTTTTTCAAGTAAGTACGTTGCACAATCCTTTGTCGCCAACTGTTATAGTTAGGCGTACTAAAAGTTTTTCCGTGTAAGTTTGAATCCTTGTTAGCCAACTGTTATAGTTAGGCGTACAAAAAAGATTTTTCGTGTAAGTTTGAATCCTCGTTCGCCAACTGTTATATTCGTAAGCCAGTCGTTATATATCGCAAAAAAAGATATAATAACAAAGTAAACCCAGTGGTGGTTTAAATAATAATACTTTGTATCGGAATGTAGGAATGTCAAAATACAGAGACAGAGTAGGAGTAAGCTAACCCGAATGGTGTAGTCAAGCGAAGACCTTTGTTGTCGCTCTGTTGAACCTCTGACTGTTTACTGTGGTCGAACTTTATCGGCCACCGGGGCGTCCATTTATGGTGAATGGGGAAGTCAGGTTATTTCATCACAACAGTCTCTTTCTGGGTAAAAATCGTCATTGAAGCTTTTGTGCCAGCATGGAAATACCAAGTGAAACCTCAGTCTTCTTCTTGGTTCTCTCCTGCCTGTTCAGCCACTATAGCCCATAGGAATCACTTCTTCTAGCTATACCAGAGCAACAGGTCTGATTGTAACAGATGTCTCTGTCACCACTCATAATGAGTGTAAGCATGTCCCCAAAGAGGCAAAGTCACTATTCACTGATAAAATGAGACACCATATACCTTCTCACAAGTTTGATTCTAGAGATAACTGGTGGCTCTGCAAGAGTTTACGAAACAAGAGCAAATCCTCAGTTCCTCTGTTGTAATGGAATGTCCTGTACTCCCTATCGTCTATGTGGACTGACTATATCAGTAGATATATATAGTGTGCACAAGAAATACCTGGGGACTTGCTTTGGGAATTAGTTGGAGATTCATCTCCAGTTTAGCTAGTTGAACTCTCTGCCTTTGGGCAGAGAGGAACCTATATGAGGCTATGCTGAAGGGCAGTCTTGTCTGGGTTGGTAGACAGCTACCCAACCCAGTTTTTTACGTGGTTTATGGGGAATTTTTGCCTGAGCCTACGGGCTCGGATACCCCACGTTAAATTTGGCTTTGTGCCACAACTGGCCGCATGGGATGGTTGGCAAATATCCTTGCTTCGGGAATTACTAGCTTGCTAACTGATTCCCTGTCTTTCAATAGTGTATTCTCTTTTACAATAAACCTCTCTTTCTTTCATCTACGTTCGTGTTGCTGTTCCTTTCACTTGAGTTCCACCATTGTCTGTTTGTAACCTTCTTTAAGGATACAACATCCTCATCTTTCCAATCATGTTGTCATCTGCTCCTGATAAAGCAGAATGGTTTGCTTGGAAATTCTCTTCTAACTCCAATGTCGACTATTCAGGAGTATCAATGCCTGATTTTCTCCCTAGAACAGTCTCTAATGAGTGATATACACATAACTCCATCCGTTGTTTCTGCTATCATCTCTAAACTAGATCCCCACAAGGCTCAGGGATTCAATGGTATCCCTGAAATTATCCTAAAGAAATGTGCTCCTGAAATTATTCCTGTTCTCTCTAAATTTTACAGTAAATACCTCACTGTTTCTTGCTTTCCAACTTGTTGGAAGACGTCTGTAGTTCCTGTTTTTAAGAACTATGTGAAACTTTCTGACCCCTCAAATTATTGCCCTGCTAGCTTTTTACCTCTTTTTGGTAAAGTACTTGAGGCTCTAATCAATGCCAAATTGGTTAAGCATCTTACTGCACACAGCATCATTTCAGGTAAACAATATGGCTTCTGTTTTGCCAGGTCTTCCACCAATGTGTTAACAGCCATCACTGCATTTGTCTATCAAGCTTTAGATAAGAATGATGAAGTTTGGGCTGTGGCTCTAGATATCTCAAAAGTGTTTGGTAGGGTGTTGCATGCATTTAGTCTGGATATTAAATCCCTTTACAACAGTGGTTCTCAATTTTGTTTTACTCATGAGCCACTTTTCATTTTTTTTTTTTTTTTTTTTTGGTGGAGCTCATAATGATTCAGTGAAAAAAAAAAAAGCTTATTTTATTTTTTGCTAATAGATAAGTTTTGGATTGTATTATAGAAATAGTAAATGTATTTGCTTTATTTTAAAGTAGAACTAATTTATTGAAAATAAACTTGTATTTAACAACTAAATTCTATGGAACATTATGTACATTCATAAAATAACTCATAATAAACCATTTTAAAATATATAAGTAATTAATAAATAAAAAAAAATGTACAGATTTATTCAATGAAATCCCCGGGGTTGATGCTGTTAATCCTTCCTTTATATATAATCCTTTATAGAATTTATATAGTAAATTAATTTTATTATTATCATCTTATTTTTTTAATATTTTATATTAATTAATTTATGTTAATATTCTAGTATCTGTCTATATTTCTGAGATGAGGTATTAAGTACATTATTTACATTATTCGGACTATTGTCCTCATCTTTGTTGGCATATTTATTACAACGTTTTGGCTGTTATACGCTTCGGCCTTCTTCAGGTGGTTGGAATGTCGAACTGAACCTTTTATTTCGCTCACTGGGGTAGACTGTTCTAGTTCCACAGGCCATGTCAAGGACACATGGCACAGTGGATAAAGGCATTGGTCAGATTCAATGACAGGGCCCAAGGAGTGTGAGTTCAATACCCGGTTAAGGCAGTGGAGAACTTTCAGAGGGAAATTAACAGGAGATAACTGATAACTGACATCCATTAAACATGGCATGAAATAAAGGGTTCAGTTCGACATTTCAACCACCTGAAGAAGACTGGAGTGTACAATGGCCGAAACGTTGTAATATGGCGATAAAGATGAGGATAATAGTCCGAATAATGTACATAATGTAATTAATATTCTATCTTATTATTATTAATAATTTATATAATAAATTATAATCTTTACATAATTTTCCTTTATATATCCTTCTCGGCTTTTATTCAAATTTTACGATCTAAAGGTCCCGTAGAGTAAAAGGGACACCAACTTACATTGCTTGATCTTATTTTCTGCTGGTTTTAGAAATGTTTTTTATTTTTAGTACATATTTGAAGATGACGTAAATTACTGTAGAAATTCCCATTCTCAGTTCTGAAGTGAACTTGTTCTCTGAACCACTAAAATATTACCATGGACATCGAATTTACTATTTCTTTGTGTTGACCCCCAATAATGTTACATAGACCCCAGGTGAGAACTACTGATTTATACCAACATTCCTGTTAACAAATACTTAAATCTTTAAAAAAAGCTAAAAAAAAAAAAAAGAATCTAACACATTGTTTTTTAAAAGAAATGCAGTTTGTTTTTTATTCGTGATTCTTTCTCCTTTAAGGTCAACAGAAACTTTGCTATCGACCTGATTGCTGAAGATCCAGTTGTTGTTGTGAATGCCCGAAACATATGGAGTGATGGTGGAGGAGCACTAGGTCATCCCAAGGTTTACATTAATCTGGTACGTTGTTGTTACAGCCTCATCATATCCCTCCCCCTTTCCCAGCTCACTTTGGTTACAATTTATGACAAACGAGATTTGTTTAAATCTAATTTGTCAGAGGATTATTTTCTTGGATTCGTCTTCTGAAGATGCTGAAGACAAAAAATACGTCAGTCTCACAATAAGTCTCTCTCCCCTGCAATCAAGAGGAATATAAATTGATTTTTAACAACACCACTACTTAAATAGACGGATCCACTCATAAAAAATAAGAAAAAATGTGATGGGGGGGATAATTTTGGTAGATTAACATTCTTTAGAGCTTTCTTAGGCTGCAACACTTGTCAGAATTAAGAAATATTAATTTGTTATTGATTTAGAAGTGGGGGACCAGCTTATAATATCAATACAGTGTCAAATCAATCCCTTTTAAAGAGTTATTGGCCTTAGGTGTTTTGCATAGGAAAACTCTTTTTTTGAGGGTGGTTACAAAAACACTGGCTGTATGTGTCTTATAGACATTGCATTTCAGGTGGTGCTAAAAGGTCAGGGGTGAGAAAACAGGCCCAATAGATGTCAAATCACAAGTATCACAGCATTAGACTAATCTACTCATAAAATATATTATGCTTTTGTTGTAGCAAAGAAAAGACTGTCAACTGATAGTAGCAACTGCAATAGATTTCTTCTGTTTCTCGACCGCAACACTTGTAGCCAAATCGCAGTTCAAATGATAGTTCGTCGTAACAGTCCAACAAACAAAGTAGAAACAACAAAATGATGTCACACATCCAACCTTCTCATGAGCAAAAATGCGTGTTCTACTGGCAGCTCAGAAAATCTTCTGCCTTTATAAGCGAAAAACAACGGCTTTGATTCATCGAGAGATTTTTCTGATTGGTCACGCCATTCAGGAGAGGGAAGAACATTAGCATAGATTCTAGTCATTGATGTAGATTTTTGCTAACTACTTTTTGTAATTTTTCTTCAGCAGATCGCACACAGAACATAAACTTTTTTCGGGGTAAATGATTATCTCTTTCACTACAGCTTTTAAATTCCTTGAGGAACATAGGGCCGCAAGATATCATTGCAGTTTCTATAATAAGCCAGTTGCTGAGTAGCTTCTTAGCCTACTGCACAACCCCCAACCTGGAGGATCCGGTTTTGAATCCATTATCCTTCTCCTAGACCCTCTTCTTCATAAAATATAGGGAAATGTTTTTAGAGAACAAATTTTGGTAGATTAGCATTCATTAGTCCTTCCTTAAGCTGCAACACTTGTCAGAATAAAAAAATATCGATTTATTATTATTTTTATCGATTTGTTGGGTCCTGTCACTGGATCTAACTAACACCTTTATCCACTGTGCCATGTGTCCTTAACAGGACCCAAAGAGTGTGAGTTCAATACCCGGTTAAGGCAGTGGAGAACTTTCAGAGGGAAATTAACAGGAGATAACTGATAACTGACATCCACTAAACATAGCACGTTGAACTAGAACAGTCTACCCCAGTGAGCGAAATAAAGGGTTCAATTTGACATTCCAACCAACTGAAGAAGGCTGGAGCGTACAACGACCAAAACGTAATAAATATGGCGACAAAGATGAGGACAATAGTCCAAATAATGTAAATAATGTAGATTTTATTAATACATGAAAATTTTTTGTTCTTCAATTTAAAATGTATATATCAGGTCATCCCATAAGTTTTTTACCTTTTTTTAAAATGAACGAAATTTAAAGAGTATTTTATAATGTCTAATGGAGCTGAACATTATTTTTATGTTTAGATGCATTTAAACTGATCAAATTTTATTTCAGAGAACAATAAAATTAAATTTTGTATGATTAAAACCCTGCTAACATGGAAGTACCCAAGAATCATTTGAGGCACATAATGCTTTATGAGTTCAAGAAAGGAAACTCAGCAGCCGAAGCGGCTAGAAACATTCACTCAGTTTATGGAGAGGAATGTGTGAATGAAAGAACTTGCAGAAGATGGTTTGCAAAATTCAGAGGTGGAGATTTTACCCTTGAAGATGAAGATCGAACCGTCCAGTTGAGTTTGATGAAAAGCTTCTTAAAGCAGCCCTTGAAGAAAATCCTGCTTTATCAGTTGAGGAATTGGCAGTGGTTCTCAGTTCAAACCATACAACTGTTCATTGTCATCTTCAACAACTTGGAAAAGTTCCTAAACTTGGAAAATGGGTGCCTCATGAATTGTCTGAAAACAACCTCAAAGCCCAAGTTGACATCTGCTCTTCTCTCCATTCTCGCCAACTTGTTTCACCTTTTTTGGATAGACTTATTACTGGTGACAAAAAATAGATCTTTTATCAAAATGTTAAGCATCGTAGACAGTGGCTTGGTAATGGGGAAGGACCCCAGCCACAGCCGAGAAGGGAACTTCATGGGCAAAAGGTTCTTCTTTCAATCTGGTGGGATCGCCAAGGAATAATCCACTTTGAATTCTTACCACCTAATGCAACAATTAATGCTCAACTATACTGTCAGCAATTAGAGCGTTTGAACCAAGCTTTGAGGGAAAAAAGACCTGCTCTAGTGAATTGAAATGAGGTGATGTTTCATCAGGACAATGTGCGACCCCACACAGCAAGAATCACGTCACAAAAGATTGAAGAACATGGTTGGGAGAAAATTCCTCATCCACCTTATTCTCCCGATCTTGCTCCTTCAGACTACCATTTGTTTCGTAGCTTACAGAATCATTTGGAAGAAACAGCTTTTGTAACACAGGAAGAGGTTAAAACTGACATTTGTGAGTTCTTCGAATCAAAGCCAAAAGAATTTTACAGTAATGGAATTAGTAAGCTTGTTAATAGATGGAAGGAAGTCATAGATAATCAGGGAAAATACATTGTTGATTGAATCTGTAATTAAATGTAACATTTGGTCACTTGTTTTCTTTATTCAAAATTCGGACAGAACTTATGGGATGACCTGATATCTGTTTGTTTTTTACTTACAAGAAATCTTTTTATAATCTCCTCACCCCAACATGCTTCTAATGCAAAAAAGTCAAGCCTAATAATTCTGTAAAGTCAGAGATCAATTTTACACCAGACTCATATTGTAAACAGCCCCCCCAATTCTAAATCAATTAAAAAAAAAAACAAAAAAAACGCTATTTCTTTTTTCCTTTAATTGAAACAAGTGTCACAGCCAAACAAGGGTGGAAAAAAAACAAGAATTTTTAACAAAAAAAAGAAAAAATTCATATAAATAATTGACAGAATTCATATAAATATTGACTTGGCTTTGCCTTGTTTGGCACATGGCCACAAACAAGGAGCCCTGAATTAGGATCAAACTTACTATGGTCGTAAAATTTTGTAAGATGTTGGTTGCTAATCACTACTCCATGGTGAGGCATGATGTTATTTACTTAGGTGAGTCTGGAACAAGGCCAAAAGTGAGGAGCACCTAGTGATGATCGAATTCACAAGATGTCCAAACAGAATTTCCTAACCAAAATTTTAACCTTTAGAAATGGTTTTAAATTTAACTCTGATTTTAGCCAGATAGTTTTACCGTTATGCTATAGAATACAAGACACTATGCTAAACCAGATTATGTATCCATAAGAGGCCTAACTGGAAGAATATTCAGTCTGGTATAACTACAAAAGAGTAAATGAGAAAGAATCATAATATTGTTAACACAAACAGATTTTGACACTGTTTAGCATTCATGTAAAAAAAAAAAAAAAAAAAAACTGCCAAAAGGACGGTTATTCCCTTGACACCACTATTACTGTATACACTGTTGACTTCCTCTGTGATGTTTATTTTCAAGATTATAAAAATATGTTAATCAAGTACAATGCAATATTTATTTATCTTTTATAAAGAAATAAATTTGAAAACTTTTTTTTATTAAAAAATTTGTAAAAAAATTACAAAATACTCGAAATATGTAAACCAACTACAATGGAACATTAGAATTAACTCTGAAAACAAATTTTTTATTCAATCTAATAGTGTTTAACATCTTTGTTGTCATTTCTCAAGAATAAAGAAAATGTATCAATCCATTTTCATGTGTTTGGGTTTTATTAAAATTCTAATCATTGCTTTTTTAAAAAATAATAAATATTGCCGAAAGAGTCAAAATTCTATACAGTGATGTCAAGGGAATCACTGTCCTTTTGATACACCATTTTTTTTTTTTTTTTTTTTTTTTGTTGTTTTTTCAGTTGTTTAAAAAAAAAATCAATATTGTTAATCATTAATTACAATTTTTTAGACTGATATATGTATCCATTGGAAACCCTGAAAAATTAATCAGATATACAAAGTTTAGTTTCCTCTGAATTTCTGAGGTGAACAGTTATCCTTATTTAAAATCAGACTAATATCCACATTTTTCAATTCAGAATTACCTGTCCTGGGTATGACGTTAAACTATATCTGCGCCCTGGGTAAGACGATAAATTACGTCCAACAGCAAGGCTTCTGATCAGGAGGTTTTGAGGAGCGTGGAACCACCTCTTAATTGCTGATGTTCCCGGGGTGGTAGCACCTGTTAGGGTTCCAGCTATCTCGGATCAAAACACTATGAAAGTGTAAAAATAGGTTTTAATAACAGAAATACTTTGTATAAAAAATTATTACCAGCAATACATTTTTGAAAAACAAATATTACCAGCAATACATTTTTGAAAAAAAAAAAATATTACCTGTGAAGGAAAATTCTTACCAGAAATAGATTTTTGAAGGAAAAAATATTACCAGAAATAGATTTTTGGAAAAAAAAATATTACCAACAATGAAAATTTTGTTGGCATTAAATAACCCATTGAGGTTGAGATGCCGTAAAACAAACCAAATGAAACCAATTCAGAATTCCCTGTAGGTTACCTAGATCGATATG